TGTGGACACATAAACAAACTAGCGTGTGCAGCCGCAGTCTCCTTTACACTCACTGAAGCGTGTACACAGGCGTAGCCGCAACCAACCGGAGGACTGAAAGAGCCCGACCTGTCAGGTCCCTCCGGGGATGGTGGTGGAGTAGATGATATTTCGGACTCACAGGGACCATCAGAAAGCATCGGCGATCGGCATCCGTTGTCCTAAGTCATCTGTCGCTCACTGTAGGACAGTTTAACGATCAGGAGAACATTAACAACAAAGCCCAGGGAGGCCGCGACAACAATTTCTGACTTGTTAACCATAATCAGCCGGCCACACCCAGCCCCAGCTGTTGCGCCACCCTAGAGTTGTCCGACCATGGCGAACGATGATGTCAGTAGCATGGCGAGTGCGGAAATTCGTTTATAGTGACTGTAGACTCGTGATGCATATACCACACTCTCTCCTCACCTACCTGAGCCTGGTATCAAGGTAAAGGTAAGAAGATCGGGGGAGGGAAAAGACACAATGGCAAGATCGGTCAGGGACAAGAAGGGGCGGATCGGATCACACCTAACAGGGACTGCCATAAAGACTACGGTATGGAGCCAGTACGGTCGGAAAGTCCGTTTTGAGAGAACCAAGTTGCCAGTCACTCGCGCCCATGGGGAATTTCAGCGCGCGCCTCGCTTATATTGCAAGCGGTGCTAATGCGTATGCTTTCTTTCTTTCCTTCATTCTCCCTTTCTTTCATTAATTCTAATGCTTATTTTTACGCAGGCGTGAGCTCCCAGAAAATAATCATCTGAAGTGGGTGTTTATACTTTTTTCTCCGAGAGATGACCACGATTATAAAGTCGCATAAAGTAGATGAGTAAGTATGTAGCAAGTAAATTATAACTTTTTTACGAAGATGGTGGACCCTGGTGATTGGCAAGAGTCACAATCAAAAGCCGACATTTTTTCGACAGTGAACTAACTTGGGATCATATTCCGACAGTAGCTAGTGTAATCTTCTTTGCTCCATCCTTTCCAGTTAAAAACTCAAATAAAGATTTATCAGCTTCATGTCTGGCTTTCGGTATGAACATCAAAATGCCGCCGCCACAACTGTCGGAGCATAAATCACGACGATTCACTGTGCGAATTCTGGCCGCAACTCACCCTTCCAGCCCCTCTTGTCTCATCCTCTCTTGGATGCCAGCCCGAGCCGCAAAAGTACGAAGTTCGACTCCTGGCGTACGAAGTTCGACGGCGTAGAATGCACGTTAGGTTTCTGTCAATAAGGGGGGGGGAGGTTGGAGCTGACTGCATATGGAACAATAGGACTTAACTATAGTGAAGTTACAATGTGCGAAAGGTCTAGGTGGCGATACCTAGAAGGCTGCGATCTTTGAACCCAGACTAAGAGGTCTTGTCGTTGGATCGCATTTCTAAAGTACTTGATTTCCAATGGAAGAGGCTGCTCATTTAGTACCCCTTCTTCATTAGGTTACATATTAAGCAAAACCATATAAACAGGAGGACCCCTGATCTACAGCTGTCTCGCTAAAATTAGCTCTCCTGATCGCAATGTACGACGAGTCCGGTGTCTTTTGAGTAGTGAGAATGTTTTCTTTTGTGTCACTTGTAAACTCTGCTGACCCACCTCTGTGTTTCCCCTCTCTCAGGTGCCTCAGGGACGGACAATCTGGCCGGAGAAGGTGGACGAGCACCGAATTCGCATGCACGAGACCCTTAGCGGCCTCCTGGCCCCACATATCCAGCATGTGGTGGAGTTCGCCAAGCGCATCCCCGATTTCGGTCACCTAGGCCAGCCAGATCAACTGGTCCTTATAAAGGCCGCCTTCTTCGAGGTCTGGATAACTCAGGCAGCTAAGACCTTTTCCTCCACTGATCGCACTGTCATCATCGGTGATGGTCGTCAAATCGCCAAACAAGAACTCGACTTTATTTACTCTGTAAGCCTTTACCTTACTAGGGAGGGGGTGGTTTAACTTGCTTGTTCGAATGGGTACAACCGGTTTTCAGGCTCTGAAAGGCGAGCTTCTCCAGTTATTATGATTTTATTAAAAGTGGTAAAGTTCGATGAGCCCCTGTGACCCTGAAAGTGGAAGACGCATTTATAGTGTTAGTACTAACAATGGTGTCAGTAACAGCGGTACTGTCAACGGCGAAAATGCATCGGTGGTAGGGGGGACAACAGCAGAGGCAGTGTTAATGGTAACACCGACAGTAGTAGCAGAAAAATCAAGATGGAGTGGTGACAGTGAAGCGATAACAATAGTAGGTGTAGTAGTACTGGAAGTGATACTAAAGCATCGGGAAGGT